GATAGGTTTATACGGTACGTGCTCGTAATTATTATGGTAAGAGAAGAATCTGCAGTAAAGTGGGGTACGCAGGCCTGGATGACATACAGTTAGAATAGTTAGAGGTGACTGAGCAAAAGTGTTGACAAGAGCAACCCTTGAAGGGCCGTATGCTATCCCTTCTCCAGGGGTAGAGAAACGAAAGTCCCTTCACATCTATAGGCTTTGTGATTTAGCTCCCTTACATCAGCACTTTGGCTTTCACATACACCATACACCGAGGGAGGCAGCACTGAAGGTTTTTTAAAGGCCGAGTTCAACCGTAGACCAGGGCTAACATACTGTCCCAATAGTCGTTGCCACAGTAATCTACGTTGGCACTGGGATGCGTATTTGAACCGGCGAAGCACTGGTACAAGTGCCCTTCAAACGGCGCTTGACCCACTGCGGATTCAGAAACTTTCAATTCTCCTCCTAGGTCAGGTCACCAGACCTGCGCGATCATTGGGGTCTGAGGTTTGGTGCAAGCGTAGGCTTATGCTTATGCTTACACCGGCTCACATTGACTTACGCATAATATAAGTTGGGCTTAAGCTTAGCGTTAGACTTCCTGCGTGTAAATCAGAGGTGTCCTAATTTGAGATGACCTGCTCCTGAACAGGCGAACCAATATGCGCTCCTTTTCGCTGCCTGCAGGCATAGTTGTGGATGCTCATGTTCGGAGAATGCTTTGTGGCTCAGTTCAAACAGTCAGCCTAATAAAATTAGGAACACCCCCTCCTTATACGATTTACATTACATATGTGTCCCCATTCTGAGCTAACTTCGAACACCATTATCTTACCAATTAATCAGTTAGGTGTATTCAAGGAGGCCATGCTGATGAAGACGTTGATCCATCAAAATGTGATCCAATTGATTGGCGTCGCCTCAAATGAAGAGCCTGTTATGATTGTTATGGAGCTAGCTCCCGGTAAGCTTCTGATAAACAACGTTGGGTAGAAGGGATGGCAGTTATGGACTTTGAAAGCATCTGAAAAAACATCACATTTCTGCACAATTATTTGACAATTCAACCCAGGTGGAGCCGTACTCGATGCCGTGCAAGCGAAACCCGGTCCATCAACGTACATTCGAATAAAGTACTGTCATGGAGCTGCACAAGGGCTGACGTATCTCTCTGGAAAAGGGGTTTGTTATTTCGATTTTTTTGGGGAAACGACTGAGCGCTTCTTTCAAACGCACAAATTCTCTCCTGGGTGCGCCGTGTATTTGACTTTCAGTTAGGAACATAGGAGTGTCGGAATACCTTCTCTGTTACAATAGTTATAATGAGTAATGAATGGATAAATGATAAATACTGTGCTACCTAGCAGGTCCTGGCAAATGTTTGGGTCACCGTTTCCGTCCTCTCAATATTTTTAATCAAACCGGGAGGGTTATGGGCGCTGGTGTACTTATTGAGCAGACCATCATGCGGAGGCTCCAGATCAGCCAGCGTCTCCCCTGCCGGTCTCCCCCTCTCAACCTGAGAATAAGCCTTATGGAGGGACTAAGGACTAGGATGTGTA